TAACATAGCCAAGTGTACATTATTATTTTTCAGCGCCATTACATGGCGCTTCAATCCTGGTTTTATCAACACTGTGAAGATGGTATTTAGTGTCTTTTCGATGTAAGTCTGCCTAAACGTTTATCCCACGTTATAAAATATTGAGCGACTCGACCGACTTTTTGAACAGATGCGACCAACTGCAAGACCTTGAAGACTGAGACAGCGTGTTATATATATATATAGGTAAAAATTAGAAACCAGTTAAAACTACATCAAATGACATTTCTAGTGACCAAGGAGAACATTCTTTCTGTCTTTTGTCATTTGTTACATGAAGTTGCTCATTTTGGACTTACAGGCTTTTTGTATGAAACAGCAATCTTCAAAACCGCTGAATTAAGTAACATGATTATGCATGATTAGTAAATTAATCCATCAGACTAAGCTACAATAAATATGACGAATAACTTCGATAATATGTAACTGTTTGTGCTTTATAAAGATCAAGACTAGTAAACGTCATGACTCCCATAACAGCTAAAATAATGCAAATATCAAACTTTTTCACTTGTTATATGTTAATTTTATGAAACGTGGCTTCAGAATTGTTGTTATAGTGCAGATATACGAAATAAAATTTTATTAAATTCACCAACCTGTTGAACACATACATTCAAATTCGAAGAAGGGGTTGTACATAAAAATTGCTTAGCGTAGCGCAAATGCACTTGCTCTAGTTCTTCCGGAGTCATACCCCACTTCTGGAACTTTTCTGGTATTCTAGGATCAAACCTTCACAAATATTAGTGAAACATGAAAGATCATACCATGTAGTTTCTTGTGTTTGGTGATTTAAAAAATATACTTGGTTACTCTCATTTATAGCCATGTCATATCCAACGGGAAGCTCGCTTATAGCAAACGTCATAGTAGGTCCATAAAGAAGTGCAGTTTGTTGTGAGTTTCTACAGCAAAAGTCATATTGGTAAATAGGACGATATACCTTTGTCCCTGAAAAATGCCTGGGCCACACGAACCGGAAAAGGCGAAATCTGGGCTGAAGTCTGTCTTGTATTTGGAAGCAACATCAAGACTTTTTTGATGGCTATGATTGGGAACATTTGCAGAAATAGAAGTTCTAAGTGCAGCATCCAAACAGGCTGGAGACGAATTTGCTTTGCCATGGAACACAACGAAATCCGTGGAATTTCTTTCGTTGCAGTTTACAGAGTTAAGTTTGGAAAGTCGAGAATTATCATTTACATCTCCAGGCGGAACGAAAAAAGATTTTGGTAGATTACGTTGATGTAAAGGAACCTGTTGTCTCTGAGAAGCAGGATTGAAAAGTTCTTGAAGGCTGCTGTTTGGATCTTCTAGAACGGTTACTCGGACACTCGGAGGCTTCCTAGAATCATATCCCTCCATAGCGAAATATACCACGATATCAGAACACAAATATTGATTAACTCAAATATTTGGCGAGTAATTAAAATGTTGAACGAATGACTTAAACAAATTTTGGCAGTGTCGAGTCAACTCATTTGGTAAGTCTTCTAGATATAATTATAGAAGCAAAGCATTAACCGGATTCGTTCTTCTACACCAAAGAATATTGGAATAGTTTTTCAATTATTTTGAAGTATCTTACTTTCAGAAATTTCATCGGAAATAATGAGACATACCTTAGCGTTTAGATTTTCTCTATCTTACTGTTTTTCGCTTGGCTTGTCAGATTGACTGGCTCTTGTTTTAGCATTTTCATGGGTTATTTGGGGCCGACATTTCTATTTCTGCATAATGAGAGCAAGCAATTTTTGATTTGAGTTTACTCAGTTTTATGCGAAAGAATGATGAGTATTCCTTGGTTTCGTTACCACACGCTCCCATACAAAACTAAGATATCATTGCTTCATTTCAAAGTGACCACTATATTGTTTCTCAGTAGTGGTTACAGATGGTCAAGTGGACTAAGTTGTTTTTATCACCAGAAAGATTAGAACTTGCTCCGGATATTTAAACAGAACTGGCCTATACTAAATCTTTTGTTATTATAGAAACTGGAGATAAACAGACTTGCAGACATGAGTAATTTGTTATTGGTTTCTTCTCTGTTTAGCAGCCTTAGATGTGAGAAATAGATGAGATCCTTTAGTTTTAGATCCATTATTCATTTTAGGTGAATCCTAGATGAGATTGGGCATGTACTAGATACAACGAGATTTAACAGAGACTACTCAAAGAGCAACTAAAATTGATGGTAGTTGGTAGGAAGCACTTTTAACTTGGAGCGGAGGTTGGAAAACATTCGACTTCTTAAATCACTCCCTTATGTAGCAGAATCTCTTAAGACCGGATATGGAGTGATCTGGGGATAATCGTCTACCAGTCTTGGATATCACTACCTAATAGGATAGTAAGAACTTTTTGGGATGGCTGGCCAGATATTGATAATAAATGATTTCGACTCTTCATAAATCCCTTTTGATACTTCGCTACGCTTGACAGTCCCTACTGCTTTACACAAATAGTAGGGGTTGACGGGCTGAACGAGAAAAATAGTGTAAAATGTCTCATAGACCATTGTCTTCTCCGCTCATCTTAATAAGGCTGAAAAATAAGGACGAAGACTGTCTGTTCTTGTTACCACTAAGAGATTATTCTTTGACTTTTTCAGATACACATTGATTTTAGTACTAATGAACACAATGTGAACTGGTCCATTCGTAGAAGTGCAACTTTCAAAGCGAACAAGATAATCGCCACACGATTTACCAAAGAAACAGTGGAATTAACCCAATAATCGTCATTAGAGTTCAGTTACTTTTCGATGACTTTTATGAGGTTACAGTAACTTTTGTTCACACGTTTTTCTCCTTTTCATCTAGAATATTACTTACTTGACGTCTCACTTCTAACATTCTCGATTCATCCAATGATCTCCTGGTTCCTTAGCTATTTTCATACAGTAATAACGAGTATTAAGAGAGAGTGATTATTTTTAAAAGACTTGAGATAGGATTTGGCTGGTTTCATGGAAAATAAAATCGCGAGGGTTCTTTGGGAGGATGAAATTACCATTCTATTCACATTCTGTCGTGCTCAGTTTTCTTAAGAGTATTCCAACTCATAGGTGTCATTCAATCCGGAGACATGAGTCTGGAATAAGTCCTCAGATTTCCGAGATCGAGGATCAAAATTAAAACCAGATAGACCACCAGAGTGGAATTCATAAGTAATTTGAATACCGAACCGGTAACTGCTACTTGCAGTTCATTAGGTGACTGAGATTGGCTAAGACACATATCTTCATGAGATATTCCATGGTTCCTATTTGAGACTGTTCAAATCATATCCCTTGACTCTCTAAATGTGCTCCTATTTGGTCGAATGTAATGCCGAATGTGGGTTTCCAGTCGCCAGTTGGTAAGTCTTTCTACCAACACGTTGAAATTGTCTTCACAGCCGGTTTTGATATTCCCAGAGACTTCTAAACATCAACTTGAGCACTGGAGAGAAGGCGCGATAAGGCAAATAAAGACTTCACTTCAAGGCTAGTTTAGGTGCAAAAACGAAATTGGGCACAACTGACCTTCGGCTTCTGGAAACTGCTGGGGCCATACTTAATACGTCAGCAGTATAGGCGAATACCCAAACAAAACCAAGGTACACTATTCTTTATTTTCTAGATGTCACCGTAAATATTCTGTTCAACGTTGGTTGGATAAAATATTTCCTAGCATTTCCGGACTTCCAATGACTTTGACAAGTGATGTTTTTAGGTCAACCTCAACGGTTACATTCTTGGAGGCTTATACGCATCCACGTACAAAATTTTCTGGCTGACTTTTGATAATGAACGAACAAACCCTCCTAAAATCAAGTGTCCTTACCTGGAGAATGGTGAATTCTACTTGAAACAGAACATCGACCCGAAATATATTCCTTATTTGGAATAATAGGTATGCTGTAATTGTTAACTAGGTTCTATTAACTTTTAGCTGCCTTCCCCAAATCTTTAATGCTGGTGGATGTAGTACATTTTATTCAAATCGTTCAGCAGAACATTTGGTAGACAAAGTCATGACTTTCAAGCGCATAAGGCTTTCTGCATTCCATATAGGACAATAGGTAATATAATGTCTACGCGAAATAAGGAAGCAACTAAATACTTCAGCTATAATGTTTTTGCTCTACCAAAGTGTTTTCGGTTAAATACTAACCACCCAGCTTGGGTTGTTGCAACATGTTGTAATCGGAATGAGTTCATTTGTCCCATGGCAGTAGATTGTTTAGTGCAGGCAGTCCAGCTTATACTGTTACATATCTTGTGGACAAGACCAATGATCATGTCCTTCAAGACTGTTGAAAGCCTTAGTAAATTGAGGTGCACATCAGAATTGACAGTCAGACAGCAGTAGTTCGTACTAGCTGTCCTAAAATTTAGGGAATGATGTATTTGGAAAAAGTCACTTCTTTGGATTTAGCGTATCTCGTTGGCCATAATACGATTCTCTCAACCAGTTTCTCTGTCATCAATAATCTGTTGTCAGAACTTTGAACTTGAATTTCATCATGATTACGAAGACGTACCATACCGCCTGAAGAAATCTTCATCCACAAGTTCTACTATATATTATTAGGGGTATGGCGAAGGGTTATCTTCGTTTCTTTTAAAGTTAATCTTAATCTGGAGTTCCAGAACTGGTTTGTCTCACAGGCATAATCTACTGCTGCATGTTATGACATTCCGTGTGTTTAAATGCAATAAACTGTCTATACAAATGATATGAGATACTGAACACATCCCTCCATTCTATTCTCCACAAGCTCTAAAATTCGGCGTTACGTATCTTCTCAGCTCAGCAGAACAGTGTTCACTAAGTCCCATCGTCGGACAATCGCACTACTCTCTCGTGACCGTACAGAAAATTCACTCCATATATAACCGTTAGCGATTCAAGAATTTTGAACAAAACATGTCTTGTAATCGAACCTAGGGATAATACATTAAGTAGCTCATGTCTTCAAAAGCCGACGAAACTCAGTTTGATTCTAGCCAAGTGCATAAATCAGACTTATCTCATCAGGATGATAATGATAGTTTATTCCTGGTATGGTAGCTTCATACAGTTATAGCAGGTATGATAAGAAACTTATAATATGGGTTGGTAAGTGAAATACTACCCCAACATAGTTCTTAGAAATAACATCAAGGCTTTAAAACAGAGTATTCATAAAGACTTAGCAACTACGTTTTTGTCGTATGATCCTATAGCAAAGTTGCAGTTACCGTTAAGTATACAAAGCAGGGCACACGGAAAAAATCGCAATGCCCATTCAGGTAGAAGGTCCGAAGCTTAATGCTACAAATTCAGTGTTTGAAAAGGAAGTGTGAGAAAAAAGGGAGCAGAAGATCAAAGGGCTGTCGGTAGTCTACAACGCCCAGTTGTTCGGAGCATGTCGAGCCAAAAGGGTAGGCAAAACTCAAAATGATTGCTGCCGTTAAAATTAACCATTGCTAAACGAATTACAGATAAATTGCAGCAGTGTGTGATGAAGTGCAATAAAATGGGACAAATCTGAAATAATGGAAGAAAAGAAGATGTATAAAGCGGCGTCATGAATCGTTCAGTGACAAACCTTCGTTGAAAACCTGGAGGCATCGAATGGCTCTTCGTCTTTTCGCATCTATGACCCTGAGCGTTGGATTCAAACCCAGGTCCTTTGGTCTCCCTCACAAACGTTTAATCTGATAGCTGTGTTTCAGTTTATAAAACGTTGCGAAGATCCAAGAAGTTTCAGATATGCGAAAATTTCATTGTTAGCATATCTGAGATTATATGATAATCTACCCCATATAACTAATCAATCGATGGTTCTGGATTGTTTTTGCATCGAAACACAATGCAAGGCGGTCGAAAGTAAAATATGCGGAGGAAGACAGCAAACGGAAACGCCAAATTCATTTATATTTTGTAATCTACATCTGTATAAAATACATGTTCGAAAACGTGTCTCTTGGTTTTGAATAGGCTCGAAATATCTTACATTTTCCATTCATTAAGCTGTTGAATAATGCATTCACGAGCATTATTCTCACTGTGTATTTCATTTAAAGCTTTAACTTCCTTTCTTCTGCTTCTCATCTGCTAATTTGACATATGTCACTGCAGAGTAGAGATTCCACAGGTATTAGCAGTTCGAAAACATCATTACACTTACTACTTTCGTAGTCGAAGTATACCAGCCCAGTCAAATCAAAAGTCAGAAGTGAAGTGGTTCGTCGATTTATTTGGAAAGCAGGAGCCAGAGATGGATACGGAAAATATATTTGGAAAGTTATCGATATGTTGATGAACGTCCTATCTTATCTGGTCAGTTATTGAGAGGATTGCGAAGCACGGCATACCCAATCGTGGAGATGCTTTACCAAGTACCTTCAGCTATGACGCGTACAGCAAAACTAATAGGGTCGTAGTCAATGTCGAAGGCTTACAGAACAATTTACTTTGAGGATTTATTTGCCGCTGCAGATGGTTCATAGTCTCATGTCGTCAAAAAGTATATAATTGGGACTTGTAGAGACTGAGAATTAAGTAACAAAACTCTTAAAAGGGAGAGAGCTCGGAGCTTGGTATTTCAGTTTCGCAGACTTGGTAGCGTGCCTCGAGAAGAAATACTCCGGTAGAGTAAACGCAAGATGGCTGGAATCAAGTCCTGGGAGTCAGAACTTTGTAATTATAAACGTCTATCTCAACAAGTGAAAAATTATGCCCAACTTCTTGGTTTCCACTTTGTATTAAGTCCGAAATTTTATGGTATATGACATATACCCTGAAGAAATGAGAACGATGGAAAAACAAATCCAACACCTGAAGTATCCAAAAATATGATATCAGCACCTTATCTTGATGCTCAAATCTTCATCGTGTTTAGGATAGCAAAGAATAAAGTAGGTCACTGAAGATTAAAAACTGTGTAACTCAGTAAATCATGCATCGATTGGACACTGAATTGTAAGCGCGGTGTTCGATGGTCTGCTAGAAAGTGGTATTTTGTGTTGGTATGTAGTTTCCGTGATTGTATTATGCCTAATTTGTCGGGATTTACGAAATTTTTAATCTCTATACCATACGTTTATTTATTGTCCCTCTTATTACGACCAGCTTTTGCAGGCTTTGAGTACGAATAATCTCTGGACTTGAGTTACCTGCTTTATCTCACTGGTTGGTTTGTTGATGGTGCACTTGTTTAGGTGATGTAACAGATCAGCGTTTTGTAATTCACCAGCAAAACTATCATTGATGGATAACATTTGAGCAATCGTGAGACGGCTTTGAAAAACTTCAACCACCTGTTGTTGTAAAATTAGGGTTACGAATTAGTTTGAGGAATTAAATAAAGGTGTTAAGTTATAGCTAGAAATCAGCTTCTATCTCAAAATGCTATGTAAGTGAATGAATTCCGCGCAACACTTCGGGAGCTGTGTCGAATGTCATTGATTTGTTCATGAGATGGTACGCTGTTGAAATCTGAGAAGTACAAGTACTTACCATCCATCCTACCATGATCCGAAGTTGGCTTCCGCATGTAACACACCGAGTAAACAGCAACTCTTCGGTTACGAATAGTTGTTATTGAACCTATGACAAATGGCATATAGTTATGAGAAATCTCGATAAGACCGTTAGACGACCTTCCAACCTCATTATATAGTTGTAACTAAGTGTCTAAGGGAGTCGACACACAGGTCTCAGTCTAAAGGTCACTCCTTTTAAGCGTTTGTAGTTTAGCTTCAAGTCAAATGCAGCAACTCGTACTCGTCAAATAAGTTATGCTGATAAAATCACAGAAAACATATAACTGAATTATTCAATCATCTAAAATGTTTCGTGTGGCTCAGTCATTTCGATTCATCTAGTTTGCTTTATATATGTCTGACGAACCCAAAAGCATGACACGTTTTCCAAATTAAAATTATTATGAATCCACTTTTTGTATGGGTTTTCTCCAAGTGGCTATATCTTGGAAGCGACATGATAAAAACAGGCGTACATAGTGTGTATTTCATTTACAGGAACGTTTTGATTAGGATAGGGGCTGATATAGATGAGGATTAGCGAAAGATGTAGAATAGTTAAAAGAGCTGTTTATACGTTTGTTATTTATAAGTTGACGATATGAGAATTCTAAAAAAGAAAACTGAAAATTGTGTGACTATAGGTCTTCAGACATGGGACAGAAAAGTTTTACACTTTTTGAGGTAGCTATCTGGGCTTCTGACTTGCGATACAGTTGTTTAAGTGCTAAAATAACAAACTGTTTGCGTGTTAGTCAGCGGGTTCGACCTGTCTCACATCCCAACCCTCCTCTCCTATTTCATTTTTGGTAACCAGATAGCATCACTAGCCCTCACACAATATAGTTCATACCCGGATAACTGGCAAATAGGTTTTAATATATACCGTTTGATTATCTTTTTCGTAATTCATCTTTCACTACATCATAAACACTCGTTGAATGTGTCTTATCACTTTGGCGTGTGGCATGAATTGTTGCCTACCAAAACTCAACACTAGTCAGGTTATATGAATAGTTGCTTAGATTTCTTGTGCCTCTTGTAATATATATATATATATATATATATATATATATATATAACGTGAAAGATTTAAGCTTAAAATGCTTAAAGTTGATTAGTCATGAAGCTGATTTATTTGGGGCCATGAAAATTCTCGCCGTTGAAATTTCTGAACTATTTCGATTTGATATCCCAATGGATTATAACGATGTCTCTCGTTTCCTGTTGGAAAAATCCTGCTTCGTGTATAAATTCTCAAGGGTCTGTACCGTTAATGATAGCCGTTTCGGTCCCAGTATTCCTATAAGTATTAGTACTAAAGTGACTTTAGTGGACTGAATCTGCATTTGTAGTTATTCTTAATAGACTTAATTTGAGTTAGATATAATTGAGATCAGGAACAGAAACTCATCTTCATCTCTATATTTGCTTCACATTGCAGCGTGAGTGGACCCAAAAAATTATGATAAGTAACCTTGGGAAAGTACCGTTTACACACACACTGTAGACTTTATAATATGTTCGGTAATGAGTTTCACCTACAGTTTGTACATGCTACAACCTTTTGTTGACTAGCATAAATTTCCGATAGCTATGACTAATGTGTTGTGTGATTTCGTACCTAAACTCAAGCGAGGCTTACCTTACTCTGCCTTTGAGAAGTATGTATGTACATGTTTATCTTTTCTATTGTGGTAATCGCTTAGGTTCTGACTACTTTGTTGGGAATCTTCATCAACGTTTGTTCTCCAACCACTGCCTGCCTTTAGGTGCAATGTTGGCTGTTGTAGGAGTAATTTGGAGGGAAACTAAGTCCGGTTAAACCAAGATAGGACGTGAGTTCATGACGCCATTGACTGTTGAACTGAGTCTCGTTGGCTGGTACAAACTATCTGGTTGGAGACGTTCGATTACATGGATTGAGACTATCCATAATGCCTCATTCACTCTTTGTCTTTCCTTAGATCCTGAATTTCGAAGTTGTCTTATACTCCTCTGTTCCATGAATTCGTATTTTCTTCGATAGTCATATCTTCTGTGCCTATTTTTTACTTCTGATACCGTCACTATATTGTGTAGTAACCTGAGCTGATGTGCATATGTTGTTGTTTATGAATGACTGGAAGTCATATGCTAAGATAGACTACACAGCTAGTTGTCTTACCCATTCCATGCTATTGGAGTTACGTATGTTTTATAAGTTTTGCTACTCTTTAGTTTTGGTATTCTAAGGCCACCCGGGAAGATTTCAGACACCTAAAAAAACTAGAAATGTTAAATGAGAGGATAAGAACATATACACATACTGAACCCAGCCCAAAAAACTTTTAATCATTTTCTCTACTTGAGTAATGTACTCAACCGACTCCTGTCTTATGTTTATGATCATTATATGTACCTCAGTCAGTCAGTCAGTCAGTCAGTCAGTCAGTCAGTCAGTCAGTCACAACGTATAACTTCGTACGTACGCACATCAGTTCGAGTCGCCATACCACATTAGCACAGAGATGCAGTTATCGATTCCAATCCCATAGTGGTAGAAGTAGTAAGAGTGTAAGCAGTAATCCGAAAGATTAGGGTTTGAAGATGTTATTGGGGGAGTATAATCCAGTGAAATTAATATGGAAAGAGAAAAAGGATAGGTACATGAGGAATTCAGAAGATTAGAATTTGGTAGAACACAAAGAGTGGATGCACCTGCACCATTGCAAACGATTTTGAGCCATATCATTCAAGGTCTCTAACCATCGATTGCTATCATCTCGCGAATCCCTACCAGGTAGTCTACACTTATCAGCATAGCTCAGTCCACTTGTCAGTGGCTTGATGGATTTGTGCCACGTTTTTGTCTGGCCGCCCTAGCTTTCTTCCAACCTACTCCTACACCATAAAACATTGCACGTCGGGGCAGTCGGTGGTTGGGCATACGTTATATGTACCTAGTTGAAAGTAACATCTCTGCTCAATATATACTTATTTGGTTTGTAGATCGTTGGTTAAGCTACGTTACTTTTAGTTGGTGGATCCAATCGTCTCATTATCTTCTAAGCGTCGGATAACTAGCATCATAATTGTTACCGTGTACACTAGCCTGTGCATAATTAATAATTTACATGATTTTTAGTGGTCTCGGTTTATTTGCCGCACTATAATGGTAGCTTGAACTGTCTACTTCCGTTCCAAGGAATGAGTTTTTAGTCACATGCTAACCATACATTTACAAGTTCATGGCCCCTTCCATCCATTAGAGTTAAGGGGACCGAATGCTATCTAACGCGGAGTGTGATTTCCGAGATTAACGTGTGGTATAATCGTCATAAGTATTCTCCAAGTTTTCTGCTCATTCTTTTAATTAATTTGTTCATTACTATTATTATAATCACTATTGTTTTCTACATTTTTGCAAAGTGATGATGTCTCATAAAAATACGGATTTTGTGATAGTGAAATTTGATTATGAGGCATCAGATAGTCATGAGCTTGGAATTCAGAAAGGCGAAAAATTAACGCTTATCGATGATAGCCAACATTGGTGGAAAGTAATGAATTCCTTTGGAAAGACTGGCTATGTCCCTAGCAATTATGTTAAACGTTCAAAGCAAGTAAGTACTTGTTACTATTTATAAATGACATTACGTTCTTAGGGTATATTTTCAAGTTTGCGAAATACTCTGGGGCGCCGAAAAAATCGTCAGGAAGGTTCAACAAGCACTAGACAGTCTAATCCTTCTTCACCTACCCCGGATGGGAGTAATGGCTTTTCAGCTTTTGATTTAAGACATGAAAGTGCAGAGTCCCTTGGAGCTAAAGTTGCCAGCACATCTGCATCTACAAGTATCTTAATTCCTCCAAGTCAAGCATTTGCGGATATGCGACTTCAGGAAGGAATTTCTGACAGCTTTTCCATCCCCCCAAATAACCAGATATCCGTTCAACATGCGAAAAGATTTCAAGATGCAAATAAAACGGTTGATAGTGAATCAATCAACTGGATGTCGAAATCTGATGCAAGACAAGCTTACCCTCAGGTAATTTTTATGACGTTAATCGGGTTGTATGAATAACGTCATGCAACTAAATAATTCATATAAACACGAAATCATGGTATCATGGAACGACAGTGACGTGTGAAGTCAAGTAGCAGTAGTGTTAAGAGCTAAGAATCTTAGATGTTACACAAGCGATATTAAAAAAACGGCTGGGATGTAAGATAAAGCAGCTGTGTTCCCCAAAGTTCATATGATGTAAATCGATACCGCAAAATAGATTTAGAAACTGGCTGTGCAAGTCTTTTATGCTGAAATCTTGTTTCTTGTAACCTCAAAGTATTGCCACAGAATACCAGTAGATACTTCAGAGGTATTTTTGGCGAAACAGAAAATCATCGAACAACTAAAAGTACAGGTCCATTAGCATCGAACACAATGTTTTGGATCAAAACTCCATATGCTCTTTCTAATCAAAGTTTAGATGTATTCGGTCAGTGGAACCCATAAAAAGACTGGTACCCTGTATTGTGTATAGATCTATCACTAATTTAATAAGCACCCAGTAAAGTACAACTCTTTTTCATGGACATGATCGAATAACTAGTGCTTAGGTAAATGTAAGTCTTTTTAATGACTTGTTGAAACATCAATCAAAGGTGTTATAGTCTTTCTTAATAAATATGGTGTATTTTGGGGACATAATTGTGTTAGCATTATCAAATGTACTTTTTGTTTCCATGAAACAAGATGTTCTATCCAGAAATTTCCCAAAAGACTCATTAAAAAGTTAATAAGGTTGACCATTTTTTTCTTTCATACTACGATTGCAATTGAATTGTATGATAAAAGTAGTGCTCAGTAAATCATCTTTATTCAACAATTTAGCATGAGTCTAAAATAATTATCACAAGTCATACTGGGTTAGACGTCTAGTTAAAAGTTCGACAGATTGATAAGCTGTTTCAAGTTTATTGGCTTCATTAAACTTGTTCAAATCCTATTTCTTACTATCCAGACTACTTTTAATCAGCAATCCATACCAAATTATCAAAATGGACATGGCGCTGTAAATGTTTCCTTATCACTGTTCCAACAAACTACTAATATTATGACAGGAACTTTAAATAATACGTCCTATTTTGGCACTGGGACTGGTTTAGGTCGTCAAATATGTCAAGCACGTTTCAATTATCCTGCTTGTCAACCAGATGAATTGTCAATTGAAAGAGGCGATAAAATTCGTGTTTTGGAAAAAAGTTCAGATGGTTGGTGGCGTGGTATTCTAATTACCGAAGGTAAACCACAACGAATGGGATGGTTTCCATCAAACTATGTCACATTGGATTTATCAAAAAATCTGAATAGGTAAGTAGTTTTTGGTTCTATTTTATTCATTCGTACACTTTTGAGGTATTTTCTAGTCATGGACTAACAATATCATCCGTAGGGTCATTATTATGTCAATCAGTCATTGGATAGGTGTTTCGTCCTTTTTTGATCTGTAACATAAATTAATTACCATGTAATGCTGTCAAAATAGAAATTTCTACCTAAAATATAGCTTTGACATAGCTTGAGGGTAAATTAATAGTTAACGTGATCGTTTGATCTGTTATACACGGTTTAGATTGTGAAAATGTGCTTTTAAATATTTATTCCAAAGTAGCAGATTATCTTATTTCAGTTTGATTAACAAATAAGGGTATTCAGGTTGGATGTTCCAAGCTCTCTTCACTTATGTCACTTAGTGTGGGTACTCGGATAGTATCATTTAACCCACACGAGAAAATGTGTCTAATAGTAAAGAATATAAACTTGTACTTGGTGAGTTTCAGAATGATTATTATCAGTGTACATGAAGACTGTTTACAGTGTAAGTTGTAGTGAAACGTTCTAATTTAGTTGTGCTTTTTCTTTTTGGACCATGAATTTTTCAAGCTTCTATTATTTGCTTTACTAATCAATTACCTAGATTTGAATGTGTTTGTGTTACACATAGACTTTTTTAGTTTCGAAAAACTAAATCATGTTTTGTTAATGGTAATTACTCTAATATCGAGAACGGGGACGGAAATTAGAAGCCATGGGACTGCATAAAATAACCTATCCAAATGTAAATAAACCAATCGGGGTGGGAAAAAACCAAAAATCGGCGAATGTGACCGATTAGTTTATGTGGTAAAACTAGCTCTAAAAGATTAACATTCAAAATAAATAAATCACATGAATTTTGGAATATATGGAAAGTAAATTGGTAACGAAATGATGTTAAAATTATAGTACATAAGGGTAGAAGGGTAGATCAAAATAATGGAAATAACTCAAGAGTTGAAGAAAATTGTTGATGATTTCATGGAAGATTAAGAGTAGTAGATGGATTTTGAAGTAAAACATTTTAGCTCCTAAATCACTTGAATCTGTAAATATATATTTAATATAATTAAAGTTTTCTTTGTCTATTAAATGTTATAGTTAATTTAGGAGTTCAACTGATATAGTTTTTAAAGCATAGTAGTAGCTAAGTTTTCATTTTATGGTTACTCGATAAAATCTATTTGTTCCTATATATAAGCTCTAGGATTTGGACAATCTGATAAACATGGTTTTATACAATTCGATAGTTCAAACAGTTGAACTCAATATTGGCAACTTGTTTGAATATGTGGATGTCAATGTTACACCGAATTTTTCCTTATTTTTACAATACTGTCATAGCGGTATTCTTTGCAAAGATGGAACGAATAACACGAATAAAATTAAGCGATTATTCAAAATAATTAGGTGTTAGTATTTCGTAAAATGTTAAATTATCCTAAAGTTTGATTATTTTGATTCGTGATTTAGGGACTTTAAAAATATACTCTAAAGTTTGGATGCGAATTCACAGAACTCACATTACCTATATTTTTAAAGATAAATATGTTTAAGTCTAACTTCTTCATAACTCATGTTGATTGTTTTGGAATGTACAAGCGATGCAATCTTGTTAAGCAAACTTGCCAACAAGATTCGATTCGGAAATTTCAAACAAAAACTCTGAGTATATAACATAAATTTCGCATCGATAAAATAAAAGATTCTTTAGGAATCTGATCGTTGTCGAGATTTAGGTGAATAATAGTGTAATGTAATGGTTGGATTTATCTACTATCTCAGTTATATTAAGATTAACATCAGCAAATATAAATTAGTGGCCAGGTAAATGTCGGTACAACATTAAGCGTGTTTCATTTGTTATCACCTGCACATGTACTTATCTACTTACAGCCGTTACTCCTCGTAGAGAAGCATAGGCCTCCCACTAGCATTCTCTGACCAAATTTGTCTTGGGCAATCCTTTTCAGTTGCTATTCATTTTTTTGATGTCTGCTTCCAACTCCCGACGCAATGTGTTCCTTGGTCATCCTCCTTTCCCTTTGCCTTCACGATTCCAAGTTAGCGCAGTGATACAGTCTAATAATTTCCACAACGTATGTCCTATCCACCTCCAACGTCTTTTTCTAATTTCCTCTTCAGATGGAAGTTAGTTTGTTTTCCCCCATAGCAGGTTGTTTCTGATGGTATCCGGTCAACGGACATTGAGTATCTAGCGTAGACCATTGTTTATAATTACTTGTGCCATTTTCGTTGGTGGTTGTTGTGTGTGTGTGTGGGATAGAGGCAGTCATTCAGCTACAACGTAGGACCAGGCACACATATACATCGGTCCGACTTGCCATACCTCATTAGCACAACAAGGTGAACACCAAATTCATAGTAGTTAACTTATTGGTGGTAATATATAAAAGAAAGATTGTATATAAGGATATAGTACAGGAAGAAAGACAGATATGAATCAATTTCAAGGTATAAGGGAAGATAAAGAGTGTATACACCTATTGTGATCGTTTCTGAGCCATGTCACACAGTCTCCAACCATTGGCTACGACGGTCACGCGGACCCCAACCAAGTAGTCTGCATATACCAACATGGCTCAGACTAGAAGTTAGTGACTTCAAGCACTGATGCCCCTAACTTTCTTCCAATCATCCCCAATACTAGTCAGCATAGCGCGTCGTGGTTGTGGGATATTAGAACTAAGTCATCTGCAAAGTCCTAATCGTCTAGCCGCATCGAAGTTGTCTACTGTATTCCGTGCATCCCATCAGATTTGGAGGTCTTCATAGTTCATTTGACCACCAGAAGAGAGAGAAAGGGTGAGAGTTAGCGACCTCGTTCGACACCAGTCCTCATTTAGAATGCGTGTTTGAGCTGTCCTCCATGCACCGCTTTTCAGTGTAATCTGTCGTATGGATTCCGAAAGATGCTGATGATTCTCTCAGCTACACCATAGTGTCGAATAAGATTCCGTAAAGTTCTCGTCTCCAGGTTGTCAAATATTTTCTCATAGTCAAGGAAGGTTATGTATGATGACGAGTTCTATTCAAATAACTGTTCAACGATAATCCGTAGTTTCACGATTTGGTCTGTGCACGACCAGTCCTTACGTCATTCTGCCTGTTGATTTCGAAGTTGAATGTCTACTGAATCTTTCATACTGTTCAGCAAAACTATTGGAAACTTTTCCTTCCAGTCCATTGATACTCGTTCTTCCTCCCAAATCTTCCTGAATAGAACATGGAGCATGTTTTCATTCAGTGCTATATGTTGAAAGCGTGAGTCAATTGAAGCTAGACCACCATGGAAAACCTGGAAACACTGGACGGCCGTTTCGTCCTATTGTGGGACTCCTCAGCAGTGGATCAGTTGAAGTTAGAAATTAACACTGTTGGATGCCATCTCAGTGGTCTATCGGTTAAGGGCTTCGGCTCGAGACTGGTAAGTCCTGGTTTCGAATCTCGCGAGAGCGGGTTCGTGGACGCGCATTGCTGAGGAGTCCCATAATAGGACGAAACGGCCGTCCAGTGCTTCCAGGTTTTCCATGGTGGTCTAGCTTCAATTGACTCACGATTTCAACTATAATAAATACTAAATCTCCACAAAACCCCTTCTATAATGCTATATGTGACTACATTGTTTCAGCTGCTGCTTTAACAATAGTGATTCGTCTGATGGTCATCCTGACTTCTTCGATTGTCGGTGGAGTGACATCTATAAGAAGGTCTGTGTGTGCTGCTTCGATGTCTAGTGGATTCAATGGAGCTGTTCTGTTCAAGAGCTTCTCGAATCGTTCTACTCATCTCTTCCACTGTTCCTGAATTTCAGTTTATTTGTTTATTTATTTGAACACATACACATTGGTAAAAGGAGGCACCAAATAGATATGCTCCACCGAAATTATTCGATTTTTGTGAAGGCTGGGATACTGCCTGGTTGCCCAAACTGAAGCAGGTGGTTTTCTAAGAAGGCCACTACCCATGTCTTTGACCTTAAGGTATAATACGCAAGGCAGTATAGCAACGTTTGGAGATGCAGTCCCATGGTGACCGGTGACCAACAGTAGGTCCATACGCCATTCGATCCATCATAGTCCTGGACACCATGTGCACCATTGATTTGGAACCAGGATTTTCCAACTCCCCTAGGTAGGTCTTCCATATCCACCAGCTCGATTAAAGCGGTGGACATTCGCTTTATGTCCTTTCGATTTCGTAAACAACACCCCAGTGGAGAGAAGGCGGTGCGTAGGACTTTCCTTGCAGTGGTTTCATGCACATGGCCACTTGAGAGCAACTCGAGAGAGTTGCCTTCTCACTCTCTGCCGTACCAGGGCATTTGGGACCGGAATTTCAGTGATTGGCTTACCTTCTTTGTCGTTGACTTGTCTATCTCGTTTACTATACTTCCCTGCTCGTTTCTTCGTTGTATCATGTGGTTTTTGCATATTCGCTTCTCTTGCAGCTTTTTCCACTGAGATTGCTAGACCTTCTATGTGCTACCACTTATGAGCTCTAATGCATCTCTTCACTCTCTGATTTGATTCTGTGTATTCGTTTTGTGTCATGGGGTTTTCTACTCTCGTTCGACTGTCGTAAATTGCTGTCTTATATTTATATACCCTCTATATTTGTCAGAGTACAACCCTTTGAAAACCTACATAAGGGAAAAAATGGAAATTTATTACTAGAGAAAAAAGTTAAAATGAATGAATTAGTGTTCTGTTTGTTAAAAGTCTTAAATAGTTGCGATGTTGATAAAACTAACTCATCAGTCATTTAATAAACTAAGATTACTTGTGTAAATTCATGTAGTCGGTTTGCTATTTCATCAACGCTATAGTCATTAACAGTGTGTACGGGACAAGCATATAAGTCTGTTATTTTATAGGGGTTGAACACAGTAGACATAGGAGTTAGTCTGTGACTGAAGTTCATGTACTTTTATTATTTATATGTGTATTAACATCTCTTATTTTTTCATGTAATAAATGAAATTTGTATTAAATTATGAAGTTTCATTTAGTTATATAATTTTAAAGAATTCCAAATTTCAGGTTAAAAGAAACAATGATGCGAATAGTAACGTGATCGCTATTTTAGTTCCAGAAGCTCGAAGGTTTCCTTCAACTGGGGAACAAAATTGTGTCTGAGAGTTTAAACATAACATGAAAACTGTTAAAAATTAATAAAATGGTCTGAAATAGGTAGTTATAAACATTTGATGCCAGTAAATGGAAGCATTTAAGATTGTTAGAAATGTTCGTAAGTTATTTAATTTTCAGGACAGTTAAACTATTGGAGGGATATTTAAACACAAATTAGCTGTCACTATTAGCTATTTCACGCTTATCATTGTTGTCGACTTGATAATAACACCATCAAGCCTTCAGTCAGTATTCGCAGCATTCTAAATTTTGCTCCGAAATCATTAAACATAAACATTATTCATTTTAGCTTCATACTAAGTATTGCTTGACTCATACTTGTGATAATTTAAGGAAGCTCATTGTCTTGGTTCTAATAAATCACTACTGAAAATAGTTGTCTGTGTTTAAACAAACGGAACTTTTATTGTATGTCTATACACCGTCCACTAAATTGTAGACGATTTACAAAATATTGGTTTACATTGTTCCTAATTACAGTACATTTCTACATCCCCACCGTTTTTTATTGTCATACGTTTTGTACAACTCGAAGTACTTGTTAGGAAACATTTCTAGTTTAAACAAGCAAGGACTAAAAATGAAGAAAAATATTGAGTTCTAGCTTTCTCAGCTGTTTTCAAGATATCATACCGTCTAAACTGCAATATTCAGCCGGCTGTTAAGTCTCAACTCTTGTCCTTGTAATTAAAGGCAAGTCAAAATCTTTCTATCTATTGAGTCTTTAAATTTGAATGGACGGTTAATTTCACCACCAATAGTTTAATCAGATACGAATTGTCAATACCAATTGACAAAAGGCTTTCAATGTTTCAACTAGGTCTACAGTCTTGTAGTACAGAATTCATTCTGAAAATGTAGGTTGAGCGAGTGTTAGTGTCAACATGCTTTTCACATCATGATCAACGACCATAATATGTCCACCAAATCATTAAATGTTTATTTATGTCATTTTTCCACGTAACATTACAGATCTGGAAGTAGTTCACAACCCAGTATATTAAATTCAAGTACACTTAATCGGGATGTAAATGATTTGTCTGTGCCAAATATTTCAAATACTCAAGATCAAATTCAAGCGCAATATTTAGCTTATCAATATTATGACCAACAACATTCTTTGAATCCTGGTTCTATTACAGAAAACCAACAACAAGTACATCAACAACCGCAATTGCTAGTACGTAATAACGGTACTGATCCACCTTGTCATGAAGGTCAGCAACAGCAACATGAAACTGTCGTAACTCTTTACCCGTTTGTACGTAGTCATGCAGCAGAGCTGTCTTTCGGTGAAAATGAGGTCTTGGAAGTACTTAGCAAACCTCCTGATGATCCAGCTTGGTGGCATTGTCGCAATAATCGTGGTGAAAGTGGTCTGGTACCACATAATTATGTTTCGGTTTTCACAACACCATCGACGGCAACTACAACACTAGGCAAACCGTTCATTTCAAATTACAAACCATTATCTTGTCAGTCTACAAATTTTGGCCATTCTGTTCGAAGTAACCAGATATCTGTGACTAATTCAAGTTATATGGTAACAAATAAGTCACAGCCTACTGATGGAGAAACAATGAGGCTAAATTATGCTACACAGTCTAGTACAGGTTGTTTGCATATAAATCGACCATGGTTCTGGGGTATTATTTCACGCGCTGAATGTGAAGAAATGCTAGGTAAACATTCTTTACCTGGTGAATTCATCGTTCGCGATAGTGAATCTCATGTAAGTTTTCATGAGTAACATGAATTAGTTGTAAAGCAAATTGGTTCTATTATATCATGTCCATTGTTAAGCAAATGATGAGCAATTGCACTACTGCTCAAACCGTGTACGTGATGTTTATGTTTGAAAATCCTTCACAATAATCAATGAACAAAGAACTTCGATTTTATTAATTTTTCATAGGCGATCGTAAATTAGTTTAAACTGAACAAGTTTGTTCTTGTTTTATTGAAATTTGGAAATATTTACTATGTTATTTTAAGTTCATTAATTTAGTGTTGTAATGCTTATTGTGAGAACTAAAATCCGTAGTTTAGATTATATCTAAGATCGTTGTTGTTTACATTGTTGAAGAATCTCAAAAATAAACCAAAGATGTAACCTAGACTTTACAAACTTTAAAAATTTCCCAGTCAGTTTCATTTTATGATATGAAAATCATCTCAAAGACTAGAATATTCGATCTACCATTGTCTGTAACTTAATTTATGCCTAATATTATTACCATATTGTTGAAATGATTTTCTTCCTCCATTATATTGGGCAATTACGTTTTATTTTCTAATCCACTTCGCAAAGCTTTACAAATTCAATATAATTATTAGTTACTAATACACAGAAAATATGCACAGTCAGATAAATAGCATAACATCAATAGATATGTGGGAAAAATTACAGTTCACAACTTATTTTGCGAGTTGGGGGTATAGCCATCAGGCGAACTGTGTTGCCACTATCAACATTAATATTATTATTACTATTGGAATTGGTATAATAGTAATAACAATAATGAGGCTGCTATTATGTTGTTGAATTTCAAGATATGATTTATGCCCAAAGAAAGAATAAATGTAATTCTCTTCTTCATATTTCAGACAGGCCATTTAATGTAGATCAATATTTGTTAAGAGGAAGTATATATATATATATATATTCTATGTACTTGTATGAATGTTTATGTGCTCTGTCACTAGACAACTGACGAGTAACCTATTTCCCGGAAAAAATACTGTGTATTGATTTTTGTGTTTTAACTTTTGGAAAAGAACGATAAATAACCAGGAATTTTATTATTTCATATTGTTGATGTGTAGTTAGATGCTTGGTCTTTTAATTACAGATTAAATCTGAAATAAATAGTTATATGATGCAACATTTATGAAGGTTTTGATTTTTGTGTTATCGGATTTGGTAATATATCTGTATAATTTTGTTTGAACACAAGTCTACAGTAAAAGTTTGTTTATGTACATGGATTATTAGACTTCGGCGTTACTGAATTGGTGTTGTTACCGACTGCAAGAGATGCATCGAACACAATCGTGTTGTAAAACCAATCCATATCCGTCAAAGGTTCTTAGTTTAGAAATATTGGGTTTTATCTGTGTAAAGCAGTAATCATTGTATCGCAACATTGTGCTTCAGATCTTTAATGGCCGAAGTAACATCACTTTGAAGTCAAAGCTTATTCTGATTCACGTAAATCTCTGTAGCTTCATCTATACAAAAGAAACTGTCGTCTACCGTGATACCACCGTCACTAACACAGCTATTTAATCACATGAACCTTTTGACTATTCCCAGCGACTCACCACAAAACGTAGTCAGCATTATCTTCTGTTAGTCTTGTAGTAGTACTTTACACTGCAGAGTACTGCAGAGTACTGTATATGGGTATACTGATCAACTGCTTAAGTACGATATGCTTAGTGTGTATGTTATCACACCTCTGTTTTATGTCTGAATCATTTAATACCTCTTTTGATGATGTACAGTTACTTACTAATAAAAGTTATTGGTAAGTGAAACATTCTAACCTCGTTTCATCAACTTTGGTTTGAGTAGACGAGTAGTGCCATTGATTATTCACACATTTAGTAGTGTACCTAAAAGCTGAATTTCTAAAACTTTAAACTTGGTAAGTGAATTTTGTATGTGTATAACACGACGTGATTGATCAGCTTCACAGCATGTAAATTGTTATAGTAGAATTTCATGTTATACTTTTTTTTTATTCGGCTTAATAAATTGATTTCATTACGTCACCTGCATACATAAGATAAACATATAATATAGCTTGATTTATTTTTCTTATTTATTTATACTGACTTATACAATAGCCCGGAGATTTGACTATAACTATCAATGCAGGCAATAAAACAAGAAATTTCAAAGTACATGTTGAAAAAGGACAATACCATATTGGTCAGAAGGTATTCAATTGTATTGATGATCTTATCGAGCATTATGGTAGTCATCCAATATTTAAAAATGAACATGAGAAACATTATCTTACACAACCTTTTGTTCATCCTGGTATTAAATCAGTAATCCCTTACGAGAGTAATAATAATAGTAATAGTATTAATAATATTACTTCTACTACTCCAACTAAAAGTATTAACACTGTATCGTCGATATCATCGACGTATTTTCTTCCAGTTTGTGGTAGTAGTGGGAACACCCCAACCTATCATCAGTCTATTACTGCTCCACACAATCGTTTTTCTTAAACTTTCTAGTTTTGTTTCGAGAAATATTTTGTTTTCTGCAATAATTATGATTTTTCTTATTCTGTTTTCATTACTCACCACCAATGTTATTGCTCTGCTTACAATTAATTTAATTTATTGTTTATTTAGATTGGAAATGTTATTAGGTAAAAATGAAATAATTGTCAAGCATATATAACGTAATCTTTCAGATTAAGTGGTTTTTATCTGATTATTTGGTTACATTATGACTTGAAAGGAGTGTAATTGTTTCTCTGTCATTATATATACACACACATTTCATATTTCCCTGTTTAACTGAGGAACATTTCAGTATTGTCTCTCACCGGTGCTGTCATGCTATATTATATTATATCCTGGAAATTTTTATTATCGAAAACCTACTATATGTTGATTGCATGTAATTACTTCTTCTAACTCATCAACTTGTGTTGATACATATTTTCTACTCGCTTTTTTTCCACTTCTAATTCAATTTGGGATATTAATAGATTTTACTTCCATAAATCAAAGCATTATCGTACTCTACATTTCGCTACGACTTTCGTTCACAATTCCTCTAATTTTAATCTTTGATAGTAACGCTATTTCCACTGCGGCCTGTGACTGCTGTTCACAATGTTCATACCAATCCAATTAGCATTATTACTCAACGGTATCACTAGTAGTTGTAAAACTTTGAGATTTCTAATAGAAGTTAGGTGTTCATAATCAGAAAATTGTCAGCCTTTGTAAAGATGTTATCATATTATGTCATAATTTTATCTAATTGTAAGTCTGCTACAAAATTAAACTTATGTACATGTGTGTGTATGTTAGTTCTTCAGTTTTAGTGGATTTGTTTTTCACTTTCTATGCAATTCATTTGGGGTATTTGTTCATTTTGTGAGAAAAAGAACAAAATTAATTTTCTCGGTTTTTCTTTTTGATTTGGTTTTTACGTAATTTTTACTTGAATTATATTCTTTCTTATCTTCACTGCCTGATCATGAATACATCTATATGTATACATACGAAGACACTCGGTTTGTTACGAACATCTGTATTGCCGATCCGTTTAATACCGTTGAAATTCCAACACACCTAGTTATGATAAGGTTACTGTAGTTGTATGCCTTCGTTCTCCATTGATCCTTCACTTTATTTTTTGTTTTTTTGTACCTTTACTTCTGCTGTTTTATTACTTTTGCTTTTTGTTTAGTGTCAAAAATAAAACAATGGAAAGTGCTAAATGGATTATTATCATTATTGTTGAATGATTTATATTCTAATGCTTGAAAGTTCTTATTGCGTTCTTTGTATAGTTTATTTTTGTGTGTAATGAATAATGATAATGGTTCTTATATTGAAATTTTGTCAGTTCCTGCTCATTAATTTTCTTCTCTATTGTTCTTTTTGTACACGTCGTTTGGGGCTTGAAGACAGGGCCTACAGATGAACAGTTTTATTAACGATTTAAGTTACTATTATAACATGTTAATAAAATTGAAATCTCCCCCAATAGACTGCAGGTATTTAACTAAAAATGAATTATTGTTCATATGATTCCAATGTGTTCTGTTAAATTTTAATGCGATTTTAACTGGGGCCTGATAATTAATTAAACTAATATTCGATGGTTCTGGTTGACTGCTCTTGATTTTTGCTGTGAATTCGTCTATAGTACATACTTTGACGCCATCCTCAGTATTATGTTGAACTCATGAAAATTACATCCAACGGTCGGAACATGGAATCGATGTGATTGAGTTCTTAGTGGACAATTTTTTCGGCTCCCTCGTTGTAGTAAACTTATAGTGTAGATCGACTTGTTTGTTTTACTGGAACTGTTTGAACATTAGTTTTGTGTTTTTTTGTACTGTTAATATCTAACTAATGAGTTGATTATGAGATTGTTGATACAAGTAAATTAATTACAAATCTATTAGAAATTGGGTTAATACTTATCTTTTTATCTTTCCTGATTACGGTGAACAAATTTAATAGCGATTTTGTATTACATCCATTGCAGTGTCAAGTTCTCATTCAGGGGTCTATATATCCAGTTTCCCCTTATGGGTTAATAGAGTGGTGGGATTTGAGTAAAAAAATAACGCTAACACAGTTAATTTGTTCGTCAGTTTATTCTACCAAAATTCTGAAGTGTCTGTTCTTAGAAATCATCAACGGCCTGTCTCTGTCAATAGTTATGTCGCTGACTTTCTAATTTCAGGTCAGTTTATTTGGTAAAACTAAATAACTACCGACTGTTGCTGTACGCTGATGCACTCAGTATCTGTTGTGTTTTCTATTCACTCAACGTCGTTGGTAGTCGTTACGTAGACAATTTGTAAAGCCAGTTTTGTTTGCTAGGTTATGTGGCAACCAAACACTACCTGGTATCGATCAATCCTGGGTTTCAAGTTTCTGATGTTAAAACGATTATCGTCACGGTAGGCTGATTACTGTCTACAATTGCACTAATTTATTTGATATTAAATATTATTTCCCCCTTGGTTTATTCATTCACTAAAGAGTTTGATATGGGATTTTAGAGACGAAGATTTAATTGGCAAAATTCAGTTGAGTCGAATAGATGGCGCACATTTATACTTAGATTTTAGAAAGTAAATTAATGGTTTCCGTTCATACATATTATTCCAGTTTTTTCTGTACCCTCCCAAGATTTAATTTCCATGTGTGATACATAACTGTTTAAATTTGGACGTTACAAAAAGTTTCCTATATAAATGAGAATTTATTGAAAGATGGGCATTTTAGAATTGTAAATATGAATTAAAATTCTCTCTATTGCACAAATCAGTGTCTGTTTGGACTCAGTAGCTAAGTAGGTAGTGTGGTGACATTTGAAGGAATGTGTACTAGGTTCGGGTTACAGAGTAAACATCAACTCTGGAATGTAGGTATATCTAGCTGACGAGTCCCAAATAGGGCGAAACGCGCACCATCATCCAACTCTGGTTATAATGAATGTGATGACATTCGATAAGTGAAACCAAATGATACAGAATGGTTGAATGACAAGTACTCGGTTGACTGAATCGCATGGACTGACGTAAATATACAAGACCAATTGGCACTGAAATATGGTTCTTCAGTCGTAAGATAAAATACAAGGAATAAACAACTAAATGTCGTTCAATAATAGGTAGCCATTTTCTAAAGGAATTATGACTTGGCTATCAAGCTTAATTTCGTCCGATCATATCTACCTAGTTCCAGTTACGAGTTTTAAGAGTTTTTGATTAGTTCTAATTGCTCAGCTATCTAATTCCATATAAATAAATACGATAATTCAAGTCCTCATTTCTAATCACATCTTTAATGACTAATGTCTGGATGTAGAAGTGATGTTGTGATTCAATAGTACTTACTGTTTGCGCAACTAAACTTGAGGACGGCTTGTTTGAAACCATGTTCTTTGTTTTCTCTGTCCAGTCAGGAGCCCGGCAAATAATGTTTTGTATAACTTTTTATGGTACTTACATCTACTTAAGTAAAAGCAAATGGAATATAAAAATTTCTCTGGTAAATATTCTATTTATTGTTTCTCATAATGAGATCATTATTTCGAAAACTGAATAAATTCTTAAAAGACATTAAATAGGAATAATATATTTGTAAAATCTCAGTGAATGAATTTTTTTGATAGACTGATGTCATGACTTTGTCTAGTGGCTTCCAATTTTTGTATAACCTATTTCTATGTTATCTAGAATAACGCGTTAAGGTAGTAGGTGGTTGAGCATATGTAACACATTCCAGTCGATATATGTAATTAATCAATATGATATCTCTTACTAGTATTTTGGGGGAAACTGTGAACAACAGTTTTAAAGACTTGTTGAAACTCAAGAGTTTCAAGTTTACTTTTTAATTTTGTTCAAATTAAAGTATCATTTATCTACATTTTTGTATATTGTACAAGTATCTAATTCGTTTCCTATTCGTATTTACTGTCTTCAAAGCTGGATTTCTGATCTCTATTTTATTTCCTCATTAGGTTTAATACTGTTCCCATAGATAGTTATCTTAATATTGTGATATCATATTCACCATAGCTATTGTATTTCTTTAATTTAACTAATAAATATTTTAATCAATAACTTGAACTATTATTCACTACTCACGTTTGTTCACCTTTCCATTAAAAAGGTATGATCGTTTATTAATTGTAATATATATCTATTTTCTGAAATCAAAACTGTGAAAATTTTCAATAAATGATTATTTATATTTAAAACAGATTTAAAAAAAAGATTTAAAACTAGCTGACATAACTAACTTGATCACTGAGTGAATACGCTTGAAGAAGTTTAGGGTATGATTCTATTTTTACTAACAGTTTTCATTGATCCCAAATGCCCTGGTACAGCTGAGAGTGGGGAGAGTCCTCTCTCCCTCTCGAAATGCTCTCACATGGCCACGAGTATATAGCTTCTGTCAGAGAAGTCCTACTCACTGCCTTCTCATGGCGGGGGTGTTGTTTACGAAATTGAGAGGACGAAAAACGAATGTCCGGTACTTTAACCGGGTTGATGAACACGGAAAGTTCACCTAGGGGGGTTGGAAAACCCTGATGAATCAATCGTTGGTCACCAGCCACCATGAGATTGCATCTCCTTAAGATGCTCCACTGTCTTATGGATCAGACCTTTAGGTCAAAGGCTCCGGGTGTGGCCCCCTAATAAAACCACCTTTTTCGGTTTGGGCACCCGAGCAGTATCACAGCTCTCACACAAATCAAATGAGATTTGTGTGGCGCACATGTAATAACAACTTCTCAGTGTTTAACTGGCTTTTAATTATCTGTCTAATCAAACACATTCAATGATATATACATATTTTAAATGATCATTTGTTATTAATTTTTAACAATCAAGTTTATCATCATATAATTAACACTCATATTTTACATTACATAATATATATATATAAAGGATAAAATGGTTTTTATTAAAGAATTGATCTATTGAACATTAAATTATTCTTAACAATTTATCTGTTCACTTGAAAATATTCTTAATTATTGTCATTTGGATATTAGTCACAATGACTATTATAATTATGATTATAAAG